GTTTGCCTTTCATGCTCTCTCAAAGGGAAGTAAAAATAGCTTCACTTACTGATAATGAAAGAGACAATCTCCCCTCATAAGCAGTATTTTTTTGTCGTTTTATGAAGAGACAACTGAAATGGTTTTAAACAAAGCAGTGTCTTTTTGTTTCCTGGTTGCCTTCAGAGTCAGCAGGATTTGGGAGTCAGAGGAAAGCAGAAATCATGTGCCGTATCAGATGGGAAGCAAGCCGAAAGTGTGTGCTGAGCTTTTATTCTTCTTCTGTTCTCTTGCTCAGTGAGGTTTCATTTTGATTGACTTGCAAAAATGATTAATCTTGACCGTTTTTTGTGTTGTTGTTGGTAGAACAGCTCAAGTTCAGTCAGAATGGTCAGAGAGGACTTGTGGATGTCAGTATTCAAGCCATGGCTTTTGGGTTTAGGTCTGGACTTTGACTAGACCATTTAGACATGTTTTCATCTAAAATTATCCATTGAAGGAACAGTTATGTTGTATTACTGCGATTCCCTTTTCTTCCCATCATCTCACATCATAATGCTGCCACCACCATGGAACACAACAGTCAACACTAATCTTTAATAAAATCTTTAATAAAAACCTGTGTCTTCAGGATTTTCATATTATTACTGGTAAAACAAACTTTCAAACAAACAAACAAACAAACAAACAATCTTGTGTTATTAACGTTGTATAATGTGTTTTTGGAGGCATTGTTTTCCTATTTGATAACCATAGCAGATCCATTATGAAATTATCCTCTTCAGTCCTAAAATAGCTTATGTTCAGTTATTTCAAGTAAAAATATTTCTATGGAAAAAAAAACAAAGGCTGTGCTAATGGCCTTTATCTCCCTCTGAGACTCATCCCGTCGAGCAAAATGCACTGAGAAGGACTTTCCATAGGACTTTCAGTCATTTTCCCCCCTTTTTAAGCCCTGCACCTCCTGATAAAGATCAGCAATCGGGCTGTTCTATTTTTAGTCGTGATATTATGGGGGGAGGAACGCAGGATGCTGCCTGCATCATTCAGAACACTGATGGCTGTTTATAGGGAAAAACTGTGCTGAACCTCTGGTGTCCCCGGTGCTCTGTGATAAATGGCCTTATTAGTAAAACATTAAAGGGACTCAATATCATATGTTGAGTTTTTTTTTTTTTTTTTTTACCAGCTCTATCTTTATTTGAAACAAAAAAGTGTATAAATGAATGAATTTATCACCCATATTTTTTTTTGGTCTGCAATGGAAAGCAGATTAATCTATTAGCTGAATCTGTTAATACAAATATAGGTTATGTGATTGTGTCCTTCTTCCAGATGGATCTTGTCTATAAGGGTAAAAAAGTGAAAGTTAGACCCAGTTTGCATTTCTTTGACACTGCTTATTAAAGGTGATTGTGTGGTTGCAGCATTCACATTTGGATGTTGATGATTAATTACCTCCATGCAATCTTTCACATGCAATAAGAAATTGGGTCACTCAGCGGTTGCAGTTCAACAAACAGGTCTTACATCAGGGGATAATGATACATATGATTATAGGAAAATCACCCGCAGTGTCTCCTCACTGATTGAGCTGTGCTCTGATTCCCTAAAGATGTTCATTTTCCCTCCTCTCACACTGTGGTGGCTGTCAGACGATGGGCCTTCTGCTGATGGCAAAAACTGCCAGCTGATGACTGGGAATCAGATCGCCTGGCTGTCTCGCTGGTAGGAACCACCTGCTACTATCTATAGCAACAATTGAGGACTGATGATTCACATGCAGTTTGATGAAAAAACACCCAATTTCGAATTGGGTGTTTTTTTCCCATTTTTTTTCTCCATCAAACCAGCCTGCACTGCATGGGGGGAAAAAAGCACAATCAGAATCAAGTTTATTGCCAAGTAAGTTTGCAATTACAAGGAATTTGACTCGGTGTTGATGGTGCAGAGAATTAAATATATATACAGAATACAGAATATATAGCTATATACAATATAAAACATACATTATACTATATAAGATGTATAGCATAGGCATATATCATACACACAGTAGACTGCGTTAATGTAACGCAGGAGGTCTGGAGATGGTGTAGCTTCTAGGTCCTGAACGGGGGAGGGAGAGAGGCAATGTCAGTTTCATGGGGGTCTCTGGGCCTTGTTGAACCAAAAGGAAGTGACTGAAATTGTTTGTCGCTGGCGTGTGAGGGATCAGACCTCAATCTTTCCCTGCACGCCTCATAGTCCTGAAGGCGTGCAGATCCTGGAGAGATAGAAGATTGCAGCCAATCAACTTCTCTGCAGACTGGATGACAAGCTGCATTCTGCCCGTGTCCTCTGCGGTGGCACCAGCGTATCACATGATGATGGAGGAGGTGAGGATGGACTCAATGATGGAGGGGTAAAACATTGTCTTAGCAGTTTGATTTTTATCAGCCACTGCAGGAAGTACATCCTCTGCTTTTGTTGATCTTTAACAACAAAACCTGATTTTTTTTTTTGCCAACATCAGGCCTGGTTAGACTCGTTGACAGCAGCAGATCATAATGCCAAAAATTTTAGGACTCAATCCAACCCCCCATAAGAGTCATTATCCACAAACCGATTCAGATTGAAACACCTCTGAACTTTCAACAGCGTGGACATTTACTCCAAGAGCACAAGACTCATCCAGGAGGGCACAGAAGATCCCAAAACAACGTCACAGCACATCAGGCCTTATTTGTCTCACTCATGGTTTGAGTTTGTTATTCAACCATAAAAAAAAATAGATCTGAAGCCAAAACCACAGCTGAGAAAAATACCGTTAAGACCTGTCTTAGACTGATGTTCCCAAAGAGTTTTTGAAGAATGTTATGTGGAGTAAAAGACGTTGTTACATCTGGTACAGGCCCCTATGTTAAGCTGATGTAATGGTGTATGTGTTTAGACCATTATAGCTTTTAGTTGTGATAGTTTGTTAATTTGGATTGTGCTTATATCCTGCTCCGTGCATTTCTGTTAAGTCCCTTCTGTTGGTGCTTTTAAAAAGCTTTTTGTTTGTTATGTGTTTTTCCTGTGCCAATTTTTCACATTTTTCTTGGTTCCCCAACTGCGCTGCAAACAGATGACGACACTCGCCGGGTTTCCATGTCACTTGTGGCTCCTTTTCAATAAGCTCCTCTGATTCTTTCTCTCACTGCTGAATTCTACTGATTTTTGTTTGTGGTTTCTGTAAGTTTACAAATTGTCTCTTTAATTGAAACCTTGTCCTTCTGAGTTAGCATCTGCATTTTGGTTCCATTCACAAAACACATAACAAGCTACTGACTTTATTACCCCATGATGTGGTTGTATGTGGTTTGTTATTTTTATACAAATAAGTTATTTATTCTAATGTGTGGAGGTTGAAATTTTATGGATGTGTAATACTGCATGTAACTGCTGTACATTTTAAAAAGATGTCCTGTTTATCTTACATAGATAAACATAGATTCATAGATAATATATTTTAGCCTTCTACAGTTTTGACCATTTACAGAAATGCCTAATAACTGTTTTTTCATATTTGAAAGTAGCGGGTAGCCTTGCAGCAAGAAGGTTCCAGGTTCCCAGCCCGGGGTCTTTCTGCATGGAGTTTGCATGTTCTTTATGATGTATGGGGTCTCTCAGGGTACTCCAGCTTCCTCTCACAGTCCAAAAACATGACTGTTAGGTTAATTGGCTTCTCTAAATTCTCATTAAGTGTGTGTGTGTGTGTGTGTGTGAATGGCTGTTTTTAATGTTTGTCTCTGTGTTCCCCTGCGATGGACTAGGGACAATGTCCAGGTTGTACACCACCTCTTGCCTGTAGACAGCTGGAGATAGGGACCAGCACCCCTTGCATGACAGAAAATGGATGGAAAATAATCTGAGCATTCTAAACACTAAGATAAAACAAAAGACATAGCAATTTTAAAGGAATTGCACTGTGCTAACTGATATGCCACTTAGATCTTGTTTTTGCCGTTCCATGTTCTCTGCAGAAAGCTCACGTCTAAGTTCAGGTTTTCATTTATTATTTTTTACCCAAGGATTCGAATGAAAGCCAAGTTAGTCTTTTTTTTTTATATTCTCCTCTAACCAAAGAACATTCTTCTGCAGATTCGGGATGTGTTCTATATAGGTTGTAGTAAACAAGGCACTTTTCCACATACAGTAGACCATTTTTAGAGAGCAAACTTATTACGGTAGATGAAAAATAATTAACCAAACAACTTAAGGATGACTTCTTATTTTGAGACAAAATACATTCTGTCCTACAGCATTTTTTTAAAAGCTAATTTCTTTCTATTCCACTTCTAAAGGTAACCAATAGATGACCCTTAAGACCTTCAGACTTCATTAAGTGTTGCACAAATACAGTTAGAAAAAAAAAGTTAAGGCTGCATCATTGAGCCTTCCATGATCTAGTCCTTAATAATGAGATGTGACATTAGTATTTACATTGTAAGATGAATTTGATGCAAATTAAGACATACAAATGGAAAGTGGGAGTAAATGCAACATGAGGAACTGAAGGAAGAAAGGAATGTATTGTGAAGGGCATGACGATGAAAGGACGCAAGGAAGGAAAAAGACAAATAAGGGCAAAAGAAAAAAAATACAGTAATACAAGAGGCAATAAGGGAAAGAAGGAAGAAAAGGAGGGCAGGAGGGAAGGAAGGACAAAGTGAAAGGCATAAAAACACCACTGAGGGACAGAAAGACTGCATGACCTCACAGGATAAAGTGTGGCCACAAGAAACAGGATAAAGAAGAAAGGAAAAGTATTAGAAAAATGACAGAACTTTATTTATTTGTGGAAGAATTAAAGTCTCACATCTTCTTTTCAGTCTTAATCAAGAGAGTAAATGTTCAATCATTTTAAAAAATCTGTAAAACTCTGCTTAGTCTTTCAGTTTCTGTGTGGCACCCCAAGGCAAATCTAAGCCAGCCTTTTTATGGCAGCAGGCTTGGTAAGATGAGTGTTGGTGTAGTAGCTGGTGGGCGGTGGTCTTGTCTGCAATTAAATGCATCTAGTCAGATCTTAACGCATCGTGGAGCTGAAGACCTGTTGATTCTGTTCATCCTTTATCGTTTTTTCAAACGAGAAACACGATTTTCTGTGGAAATTTCCCCATCAGGCGTTTCTGCTGAGACTGGCTCAGAAGAAGAAGGGCGCGGATCGGATTCTCTGGAAAACAATCATGTGAGGGAGCGCAAACAGAGAAGAAGGAGCGAATTAGTTTTCAGACAGCCTCTAATGATGCCGTCATCGATTTCAGAGAGGAGTTGCGTTCCTCTTTTTTAGGCGGCGTGCCGGACGCTGAGCGGCTGTGCGTCTTGGAGAGGGCAGGGAGACGCGCAGCATCAGCACCAACATCAGCAGCTCCTCACAGTCTGCCCGGGTTCGGATCATCCACACACACCGACCACCTCCATCTCTGCGTCTCTCCCTAAGATCCCATCAAGTCATGTCTGAAACAGAGCGATGGGCAAGTTCGACGACAACGAGAGGATAATCCTCAACGTCGGGGGCACCAGGCACGAAACCTACAAAAGCACCCTAAAGACCCTGCCGGGGACCCGACTGGCCCTCCTCGCCTCCGATTCGGACATCGACTCCGTCCTGGATCAGCTGCAACAAGTCCCCGGCTTCATCGAGTACAACGCGAGGACCAACGAGTACTTTTTCGACCGCCACCCAGGCGTCTTCGCCTACGTGCTCAACTACTACCGCACCGGGAAGCTCCACTGCCCGGCGGACGTGTGCGGACCGCTGTTCGAAGAGGAGCTCTCTTTCTGGGGCATAGATGAGACGGATGTGGAGCCCTGCTGCTGGATGACCTACCGGCAGCACCGGGACGCGGAGGAGGCGTTGGACGTATTCGAGCTCAACGTGGACAACGGGGAGGAGGACGACGAGATTGGGAAGAGGCTGGGGATCGAGGACCTGGCCGCGGAGGGGAATGTCAGCCTGTGGAGGAAGTGGCAGCCTGTGATCTGGAACCTGTTCGAGGATCCCTATTCATCCAGGGCGGCGCGGGTAAGGGCGCACCGCCGCGTAATAGTCCAATCTTTATTTTTAATTCCTGCAGAAAAAAACAACAACTTTTGTTTACTTTGAAAAAGAGCATTTAAAATGTTTGCATATTCTAATTTAACAAATCATTTCCCTTATTTGAATAAGCAATCTGGGTGCCACAGTGCCGGGGTGAATATTTAAAGGACAGTACATGTGCCAAACGCGTGCAGGAACTCCACACTTGTTGATCATTTTCATTTCAGCACTTTGCGTGGACGCGTAGGCCGTTCGGCTTTATAAAGCCCGTATTTGCTCATAGCAGCTCTCAAAAGTTCATATATATATATATATTTCATATCTTCATTAACTCCCACTGAAGCGCAAAAACGCACAGAGGCGATCCAAGATGGATGCGGCCGAAGGCGTTGCTCGATTTGGAAAGCTCGCTTCCAGGTAAACCGTTTCAAAAAGAGTGTATTAAAATGTAATTTCTTAAAATAACCCCATTTATAAAAAGGAAAACTAATACAATAAAAAGTATTTCAGCCATTTAGCCACCAGGTTAAAAAAAACAAACATATCAGGCAAAAATAAACAGAATTTCTGGAAATAATTTTAGTTATAATCCTATCTAACTAAGCATGACCTTCATCCTTCATGAAAAAAGTACCACCTTTATTTTTAAAAGAAAGCCGAATAACCAATACTAGATGAAAAGGTTCCTTTTCATTTCCATCTGATTACTCCATTCAAAACCTCAAATATGAGCAGCTAATCAAAATTATTAAAGATAGTTATTGATATCCTGAGTGGGTTACAAAACATTTCAATGGTTCTTGTTCTTTGAGTTGTTTCTATTCATTCTTCTATATTTGTTTACAGCTAATAGAAAACAATAACCTTAAAGGTATAGTGGAGGATGTTCTTTTTCCAGGTGGATCATCAAAATAATTGGTCCTCCTAATTGTTTATCATTCTGGTGATATGTTTATGTAAGGCCATCCTACATGCTTGTCTCCATTTTCACTTACCTTTGGTGAGTCTGACATAGTGGAAACATTTCAAATCTTCTTTTGGAAAGTAAGCAAACTGCAACTTTTACACAGAGTGTGCACGAGGAGAAATGGGTTTGTGCATGCTCTCGCACGAGTTTTAATAGACGTTCCCTCTCGGGAGCAGGCACAGGGTTGTGCATGTGCATTTATTATTTTTTTTAGGCAAAGTCTTTTCAAAAATTCACGAAAATCCTCCACTATACCTTTAATAATTTCTTCAGAAAATTTAAACCTCCCTTAGGTCTAATACATTTTTTTTTGTGCTCCATATTAAATTCTCTGAATAAACTTTTTAGGGCATTTTTTTCATGGGACATTTGTCCAGTTGATAAAAAAAAGTTAAAAGTTAATTTCAAAAAGTATTCACAGAGAGCTTTGCTTAAACTTATTGATGGAAAGGAATGGAGCTAGAAATATTTGTAAAGCAAAGCACATCGAAATGTTTGTGGGAGATTCACAGGTTGGAGAATGGGAGTTTGTGTTTTAAAAAGCATTTCTATAACCTTACCTCCTCAAAATTCATAGACACTGATTTAGTTTCAACAGAACTAAATATTTACAAACTGCAATGAAAAACTTTTAAAATACTCACATTAGTATAACAGAATTTAATTTAAAAAGCAATTATAATTTGTTTAGAATTTTAAACTTTTAAACTGTCTTTACCATTGCAATGTTAGGGAGGATCTGGGAAGTTAAATACAAAAAAAAAAGCAAAAACATTCTTTGTGTGCATTCCTAAAAAGTGTGAATGTTAAATGAAAGCATGTGTCCACTCAAAGCCCAATTTGTATATTGGGGGAAAAACTTTTTTTCTGGTTGCAAAATTTATGGCACTGCCTTTGACACACTGACAAATAGATAAAAGGAAGTAATTTTTAACATCACAGTTTTCTTGTTGCAACTTCTCTTGTTTTGAATGTTTCAGCAGAGCAGTTACTTTCTGGCACATGCACACTGCAATGGCCAAAATCTTTGGGAAAAATCTTTTAATATATTTTTATGTGGCATTTGCTACTGCTAACAAAAAGGTAGAATTTACTCTTTATAATTTAGTTAATTGGTTAAAGGAAAAGTCAAGTCATATACAAACTTCTGAAAGCACTTTAAGTATGAAATTATTCCATATTTTTCAATAAATGATAAGTGTTTTTAATTAAGAGTAATTTCATTTAAATGGGCTTTACCGGAGACATCCATGTTTGTCAAAGAGCACTACTGCCACCTACCGGTTTGTGACGTCACGGTGCGGTATCAGCTGATGATCAAGTCCAAGTGCTGTATCTGGTGTTTGTCACAACACGCCATTATCCATGATGGTGACAACCAGTGCACTATGTGAAGCAGAGAGTGACGGAATAATGACGTGTTTTTTCTCTGGCCAGAATTTCAATACAAAATTCTCCCTCTTCAAGTTGGCAATCCAACGACGAACCTGTGTTGGATCATGAATTGGAAAGGTGAAATAAGTAATTTTATTAATTTTATTTTTACCCGATGTCTTACAAGATCAAACTGCCATGCACATGGGCATTGTCAGTTTTAACTCTCGCAAATTTCAATGGTGAAGTCCTCTCGAAATCCTCTCGAAATCTTCAATAATTATTGTTGATTGCAGATGTTTCCAGTAGCTCACATTGATTTTGCTTTCAAAGCGGGGAGAATAGCGCTAGGCTTTCCATAGAGTGACGTCACTGCCGGAAGATGTCAGGAGTGAGGTGTTACTATGTTGTGTCAAACATGGCCATTCCCAGACTCAGTGATCGTAACGAAAAACATTGTTCTAATTTTTTTACTGATTATTGCTAAATTCATTAAATTACCGTGAACGTATTAGTTTTAGATATTATTCCTTACTGACCGGACTTTTCCTTTAAGCAAAAATGTAAAGGTATTTTTAAATGATTTGATGGACTGCATTTTCCATCCTCCAAAACTATTTCTACATTGTATGGTTGCTATTTAGAAGATAATTATGCATGCGTTAATATCTGTCATTATTAAGACTTTGGTAGAGTAAACTGAGAGGAAACTATTTTGTGTGTCTCAAAGACGGGTCTAATTGGAAACAGCACTGCGCACAGATGGCTGGTATGATCTTTTTTTTTTTCGAGAACAGGCAGGCAGCGGAGAGGCAAAAAGAAATTTTTTTTGTGGAAATTAATAAAAAAAAAAAATTCATGCCATACAGCCCATATGATGACTAAACACAGCAGAGTAGCCTCTGGCATCTGGACCATTCAAAACTTTTCAACCAAGCAAGATTATTGATTATTCAGTATCTGAAAGCAATGTCATTTCGATATATCATTTTTGTTGACACTCTAATGCACAAAACAGTTTTTTGTGTTTTAGTAGTCAAGAATTTTATTTATTTGATGTTATAAATTAAACACCATATTACAGTTTTTAACAAATCAAAAGAAAAAAAAATAGTTTGACAGCAGATGTCTTCTCAATAACCAAAAAGACTCCAAGCAAGCGTTTAGTTCATCAGGCAGGGCAAAAAAGAATATATGGCACAAACAAAAATATATACGTTCAATTATGTTTACATAGGAAAGATTCTTTCTCTTTATCTTCTGTTACTGTAGTGACGCTTGCCAATTGTGAACTCCAGACATTTTTGCCAGGAACTTTGCTCCTTTGAATATGTAAGCATAGACTTCACCTGCAATCCTTTGTTACATTTCATAAATCAGACTGCGAGTGGTAAGTAATCCATGCACATCCCCCTCCTAGTATTTTGCTAATTCTGTTGGTAAGCATACTACACATTCTACATAATAAAAAGTGCAAAATTCTGAATGGATTACATCTGCTGTTTCAATTTATGCATAGTCACTCTCAATTTAGGCTATGCCCAGCGGAACAGCCTTTGCCATGCTACCAAGTTTGCAAATATACGCTTTTTTTACGAGCAAGCCTTTTTGCATTAGGCTCTAAGTCTACCAATGTCAGTGCGGACTTGCTCGGTCAGGTCCTTTGACATGTAATGCCTTGAATTGTTTCTCCCCCACATATGTTCATGAGTTGATCAAACTGTCCTTTATCATGCCAGTGCTTATGACTCTGATCATTCTTACAAACAGTGTGGCCTGAGCTGGTTAAAAGCAGAGCAGCAGAAAAGGCTTTGGATTCATGCACTGTGATTACATAACTCCTCCTCTTCACTGTCTACAGGTGGTGCCACAAAAAAAGACTATGAGGTTGATGTTTGAACAAAGAAAGCAGTATGGTTGGTTTACATAAGAAGAAGAGGCAGCAAACACTATGTCACTCTATACTATTTTTGGAAAAGCTATATTTTTTCCAATCATTACAGTTGAAAAGCTGTAATGCAGTATACAAAAGTCAATACCTTTGTTGAATGTTTATCTGTCTTACAGTTTGATCGATCAGAGGAATCTGCGTGGTCTCAGATTCCCAGGTCATGCAACCATACTTGGAGTTTCATGAAGGATTATTGCGTTGTTGTGTTTTCCCTCTTTCCAGTTCCAAAATCTAACCCATTATACAGTATGTATATATTTTAATGAAAATGTAGGGAATTTAAATTGCACTACTATTATTTATTAGTGGTAATGATAACTTCATATCTTACATCAGGATAAACTGAATGTTAAAGAATACAAATCCAGAGTTACAGTACATCACTTTAAAATGGTTGTAGAGGGAAAAAATATATGTATATTTTTTGTTTTTTGTTTTTTACAAAGAAAGTCTAGTCAGCTTGAAATATTATTATATTTTTAAGCTAGAGATAATCCAATCTAGTTCAATCTCATTTAAAGTATTTGGTCTCTAATGGTCAGTTTATAACCATTATTTTGTCTACAAAATACCCCAAAATAAAGTCAAATGAATCATTTCTAGGTACAGGAGGTTTTCTATGTTTTTCTAACCCTTTGTCAGCTCCATAAACAAACAACAACTCAAATCTTTACCCCAAAAATAAGATTTTTT